ATTAATGAGGAAAAAAATGAACTTAAATGATTTTAGCATATGGCTGCAATATAACAAAGAGTGAAAAATTTAAGGGGGTCTGAATACTTTCCATACCCACTGTATATATATTTAAATGATTATTACGAAAATAACCATGTTCTCTCAGTAGCTTATTGCATTAAAAAAAGGTTTCTGGTTGGCAGCCTACTTTCAGATACTGGATGACACAGCTTCGCAGATGAACTCTGACAAAGATACTGTATGCTCATTTACTGCCAAATTTGTGCAGTAAGGTTCTCCATAAACGAATGTGGTCATGTAAGCCATGTAAGAGAGGAGGAGTGGTTAGTCTGAATGCAACATTTCTATACTGTACTGTTGTGTTTACAAGAAACAACAAAATCCCAAGCAAGACAATCAAAATGCCTGTTGAGATATTCAGTCAACATTTCACACTACATAAAACCAGTAATGTAGGTATTTTAACAGTGTCCAGCAAAGGGCAAAATGCTTTCCAATACCCCATTTAGTTTATCTTTGTCACTACCACAGAGAAGTTGATGCAATTCAAATTTGACTATGATGCTAAAGCAGCCCAATAACAGGAAATAGCTGCCGACACACACAAAGTGCATTTGGTATTCAAAGTGAGAGCTGAATGAACCTTGGCCTGAAACTGACATTGTCTTGATAAGACTGAGACACAGAAACTGCTCCAGTGCTGAAGAGGCAATTTACCAGTACAACATATGAAAATTTCAACAAAACCTGGAAGTAGATCCTAAAAAAACAACAACAACAAAAAAAAAAACTATCAAATAAATGTTTACACATGTAGGCAATTTAACGTCGACTGCACTTTGTAGTATTAGAAATTGGTTGTAGCAAACGCACCCTAACTTTTCAAAATCCTACAGTTTTGGTTCACTTTACTCACTAAAATCTCTTTTAACTGGTTCCTGTTTTCTCCAGCTGCCACAGTCCAGATGAGAGAGGAGCTGATCAAAACATTAATTTCTACCAAGCTCACAAAAATTAAGCTTTACAAATCACTTTTAGGAGCTCCTAGACTTTTTAGCCTCAGTTATAAAACTGCTCAGGCTTCGTGGAGAACACACTATATACACTCACCAGCCACTTTATTAGGTACACTTGTACAACTCTATGAACTTCAATGCATCTATTTTTTTTTTTTAGATAAAAACAGAATTGAAGGAGGGTGTACATTCTTTTTACCATGCCTGTAGGTGATCAATATGCTGTCACATACCTGTTGCTACACTGAAAACTGCAGTTACCAACTGGCTTGGCAACATACAGTATTAAGAACTACATAAGCAGCTGCTGATGGTAAACTCACTGAGTACAGTGGTAAAGTCAATATGGCTCATAACCTGCTGTCTCCTCATCCTCATCTACCAGGTCACCACTGGCTTTTCTTATCATATAGTATTAATAAAGTGAGTCATAAAGTAGAGTAAATGCTCATCTATATGTTGCCACTAAAAACTGTCAAGTGATGTTAAAAACGCATTTCCATTTATTTGAATAAGTTCCGCTGAGATAAAGAGCCTGCTGGCAGGGTAATGATTAGCACAGTGGAAGTGAAGAACTATTTCGGACTTGTGTTTGAGGTGAAAGCAGCCAGCTCTGACCACTGCTAGCTGTAGTTTTTCCCACTTGGAGTTCATTTAGTTCTTGTTGCGTGTCCTTTTCATTACATCACTGTGTTCTTTCACTGGCTCATACCATTTTCTTTTTTTTTTAGAGAGACATTCATTTTCTATATCAATCTCTATTGTAGGTTTTACTTAATATCCTTACCTCTTGAAATGTCTCAGGAAGATCCCAATGTTCATGCTCTTCTTAGAGTCAAGGATTGTGACCTAAAGAGGAAAGGAACAGAAATTAATAACCATTTTAAAAAAAGGAGGAAGCAAAAACACTTTCAAACACTTTGGCAGTTCCTCCTTTATGATATAATTGCAGGTAAACGTTTAACAATCAGTTCCTATTTGTGCAAACATTACTTCCCTACAAGTGAGTGATGTTTGACTGTACATGTCCATAAAAACTTTAAATGTTGTGCGACAGTTAGTGGAAATCAACCGTTGCTATATCTAACAAAATGCCCAATATGAAAGAGCAGCACTAGTGTTTAACCTGAAGGTCCTGTGGAAAGAGATCCATGCTGTCACACTTCTTCATACCAATGACCCTTGGGTTGCGTAGCGATGCCCGTTTGTCTACATGACTGAACAACTCCTCCATGCTCCGAACATCCAGCACCAGGTCCCTCTGAGTACGCTTGGATGTCCAGACGTTCACTTTGCCCATGACATGCTGGCTGGGGATGGGTTCCCAGTTCAGCTTTTTCATGGATCGTCGCTCAACATTACGAGAGCCAAAATGAGGGGGAGGGGGAGGAGGAAGAGGAGGAGGAGGAGGTGGAGGTGCAGTGGTAACACATATTGGGGGTGGCACAGCAGAGGATGTTTGGACATCTGCATCTTCCTGAGCATCCAGTGGCAAAAGAGAAGACGAGTCTTGAGAGGAACAGTTGAGACGAGAAGCAGAGTTTAAAGTCAGCACTCCCTCCATCCCAGTGTTGGTCAGTCAGATCTGAGGAGATACACAAGTGTAAATCCAGACAAATCACAATTTTTTAAACAATGTGGGTAGTTTGGAACATGAAACTAATGTATTTATGAATTCACCAGCTGCACTGTCAGTTACTTTGAGTTACTTGTCAAAATGCATATCCAAAGGCACACTCACAGAAAAACATTTATCTTCTACTTCTCTTCTTTGAAGTTCACAATCACATAATATTTTACCCTTAAATACAATGTCCTCCCCTAGTCTCTGTCCTTTAGTGGGAAAGTATCACAGGAAACGTAATTAAGTTTAAATTAAATTAAATCTCAACTGAATGCTGCTTTCTTTACAGCAAGGGTAAATGCCTCACATAGACCGTATGCACTTATTAGACCCCAGTGGTGAATTCGGCAGATTCCAGTCAGGAAATTATTCACATAAACAATTATTCACATATGATTCTACACAGAGAACGGAAGCTGCAGAATTAACACGGGTACAAAATGGAATTAAATATGATTGCAACATGTCCGATTTGGTTGGATGGCAAACGTTAAATATTGACACAAACGGCCCAAAACATATAATCTACATACCAGTGCGATTTCTGATCAACAATGTATCAGTCATTTGACATTTTACCACTTTAGCTGTCAGCTCTTCACATATAATCACGAGTTTACATCCCTAAATACATGTTTCCGACTTAAATCATGACGCAAACACAACAGAACGCGCGACCGCGTATTAACACACTGAACTGTCACCAAAGCATCGTTACAGATGAATTTTACTCACTGTGCTTTTGAAGTGCAGCCGTGATATGAAACCTCACTCAGACCTGGCCTCGTGCTTCTTCATCCTGCTGCAGCCTGTCAGTTTCACAAAGCGCAGGCACAGGTGCGCGGCGCGCCGCCGCCAATCACGTTCGAGTCTGTGTCCAGGTGTGGCAACGCCCCTTTGCGGACGGGTAAGAGAAAAGGATGGGGGACCATTTTCTTTTGGTTCCTTGCAAGGGTCACACTACCCCTAAAGCAGAGTGCCAAAAACTGAATTGGCCTGTTTAGTTGGATAAAACAGTCCTGAGAAGATAATAAGACTAAAAGAGGGACTATTGTAGAAGCTTCAGCAAATTATGAAAATAGATTCTGGGGGCAACATTATAGGTTTACTATAAATAAAGCCTATATCAATATTAACTTAGCAGTTTGACTGATGATTGTTTCTCATGATTTTCTTCCTATAACTGGATTTTTTCAAGGAGCAAATGAAGTGGTGACTAATTCATAACCCTAACTTATGGGTCGTAGACTATTTTTATCTGAAATGTAGTGAAGCTGAAGTGGGTTGACTTAATCCATGCGACTGCTGATCTGCACCAGAAAGTTCACTAGGCTACAATGAAAGTAGAAATCAGATGAAAGAGCCCAGATGTTGGAAAATGTGTACTTTTAATTTTGCTCCCATTGGAGTGGGGTGGGACTTCTCAGGTCTGAGTAAGGAACGAAGGCAGAGTATTACATCAATCCATGGCATAACATTTGTCATCTTACAGTAAACATCATTATATGCAATCAGTCATACAGTACAACACACCTGCTCAGCCTAGAAAATAGTGATTGTACACAAATAAAATATATCATTTTATAAATCTTCATTTTGGTGTTGGGGTTAGGAATTTCAGAGGGCCATGTTTGGAAAAGAGGAGTCACATTTTGTTGATATTGCTTTGTGGCAGTCAGACTAGGAGCTGGCCAGTGAAACTGCAACTGTAGTCACAAGTGAAGCCAAGGTCTTACTGATTTCCTCAGCCACTATAGAAGACACTGAGTTGACACACCTACACATAAGTATTCAGAAAACACAAGCCTAACCAATCTTAGAAATCACTTTTTGATATTGGCTCTTCATCAGCAATCAAATCCACTTTCATAATTGTCCTAAAAGCAAACCCCAAACACCGGATTCTGCTTCAGCCAGTCTGAAAGTCATATCTACTGTAAGCACGGCGCTGTGCCAGTCCATGTGAGCTGGCACACAGAAGGCCAAAAGGAGACTGTCAGTGCATTCACACATATCTGCACCTGTACTCTGGATTGCTGCCTGCCATGCAAATACAGAGGAGACAAGAAGCTGGAGGAATAAACACATTAACTGATGAAGATTTTATAGAGCTCTCCCTTCTGTTACCGGAGGCCTCCATGAGTTAAATGCAGCATGACACAACATCCATCATATTGGATTATCTTCAGAGGTTTGACAATAGGAAATTAATTAACTAAAAATCAATTCATTAATTAGCTGTTTTTTGGAGAAAACAATTACAGATTTGGTTAGCCCGAAGCATCTTTCCATGTTAGTGTCACAAAATGAACACAATAAATACAGCAATGCATAAAATTACATGACATGAGTACCTTCTCTTAACTGTCAACAACTGATGATTGTTTACTACCATTATTCTAAGACAATGTTTCATTAGTGTTATCCCAGTCCCCAACTACTAAATGATGATGATTTTATATTGAAACATTATGATAAGTAATATTAGACAGCTACAGTAATCTTCAGTGTGAAGAGGTAACCATACACAAATATCTTCAGCTTTAGGAGGACTGAAAGATTTGACCCTACAGATGTCAGTGACACTCCATTACTAACTTTAAAAACAAAAAACACAATTCAATCTACCATATCAATGTGAAAGTAAAAGAAATTCATTCTTTTTAAATTCAGTCCAATAAATGATTAAATAAATGAAGACGCCGTTCAAATCTGTTCAGCTTAACTGACTGACATGACCCTTCTCTCAAAGCCTCCTCAGTTCAGTGAGACTGAACCAATCAATGTTGCTTAAATAACCCATGAAACCATAAAAAGGGTCACATCCAATAAACATCTCGCTCAGTTCTCTTTGGGTAAATATAATACAAACAGTAAAAGACCCCAAACCAGCATAACTTTGGGAAGCAGTGGCAGCGTTCCTTAAATGATTGTTGCATATATGAGATGAAATCAAAGAATTTCCCGGTTACAACTGGAATCTGTAGCACTTCTAATAACGACAGTACAGACCAAGCACTGCAGCACCTGCAGTCTAAAACACCAGCACACGCTGCCCTTCATTGTGAAGCATGGGCATACAGGTGACTAGAAGTGAAATGATTGGAAAAGAAACAGAAGACAATCAAATTAAGCAAAAACTAAACTACACACAGCAGCATGTTTTTATGAGCTACAAACAATCATAGAATACTTCAAAAGTAAAACAGTACTTATTTGGAAATGTACATTGATTCAAAATGTCTAATTTGAAATGTTTCCAGTGTACAATACAAAACCCCATTCATGTGTAGTTTAAATATTTTTCTGAACTTATCCTTCTTCCTGTAGGCCACGTATTCATTTAGAATATAAGCTCATAGCACATAAGGAGGCACACTAGGAGAATGATAACATATGGAAGAGTTCTGATTTTTCCTTACATCTTAGCGTGTGTTTTATCAACCTCCTTGACTCATCTGCCTCTATTACTAAGATGGTGTGGAGTGTAACTCAGAGCACTGGGAGCACTTGAGGAGTACAATAACAGCCATATAAACACGACTACCACAAGCCCAGAAAGCAAAATGAGATTGCACAAGAAAAGTCAGGTGAGAGAGACTGAAGGGAGACATGGAAAGTTTCTCTAGGAGCAAAGCGCAATGAGAAAGTTTGAGTGAAAAAAGAAAAATTGGGAAAAGAGGCACTAAGAAGCACCCTGACTGTTCATGAAACTGGCCACTTTGTTTCCTGCTGTATTTTGCTCATTCACCAATAATACCCTGTCCAATCATCCAGCTGCACATCTCATGTCTTCATCCACCAAATTATCTGTATGCGTTTCCCTCTGTAGTGGTCCTCGGTAAGTTGGGGATTTCAACAGGTAACAGGTGGAGGTGGTCGAGAAGGAGGCTGCAGGAGGCCCAGCAGGCCCTCTCATTGCTTCTCTAACCAGGAGGGCTTGTCAGCCCCTGGAGGCCTCAACTTTATGTTGAACTGCTGCAGTGTTTGCTCCAGCTGCTGCTGGTTGCCAGCAAAGTACGCTGAGATAGCATTATGGAAAAGGAGGAGCTGCTTATGCATCACCTTCACCTGAGAGAAACAGACGAGGAAGTTCAGACACTTTATCACAAAAAAAACACTGCGTCAACCTGGATATAAACTTTTTTTTCCCATTTTGAAGGCTGATCATTATGATGCAGGTCTGCCCCAGACTTACCTTATTCTCATCCAGGAACTTGAGTTTAATGGTAACATCCGAGCGGAGACGTTCATACTTGTCCTTTTGGGTCTGGTACTGTTGCTGAGCAGCATCTATATGGGACATGGCAACAGCGTCCCTCGGATTCATACTGAGCTCCTCCAGGTCTGACCGGTAGGCATCAAACTCCAGTCTGTTAAGAAAAGGAGAAGACTTTGAATAAAAAGAGGGAAGAGGTTTTATTTTTATGTAATTTATTATCATAATGCTGAATAAAAAATGAAGGAAAAAAAAAACTCCAACCTGCTTTAACAGATTTTTGCTCCCTTAGTAATAATCAGGCTTTGGTCTCCTGAGGGAAACATCTGGCCTTACCTGGCATTTTCATACATCTTGATCGTCATCAGGGTGTCTTCCATGGTCTTGTTGACTAGCGTGTTTATGCTGGACACAAAAAAGTTAATGGCACCAAGTAGAGTCTCCCCATTCTTACACAGCAATTTCTGTGTCTCAGCATTGTAGCCAAATTCATCCTATAACAAAAAAAAAAAACAGCATTGACACACACAGCAGAAGACACAAGTTATTAAAGCTTTGTATAACTTTCATATACTGGCATTAATGTAGCTCACCAGTACAGCATCCTCACATCTTTTTAAGATGCTAATGATTCATACAAGGTGACACAATCTACACCAATAATTCTGAAGGCTCACCCGTAGCTCTGGGGATTTCTGACTGAGCTCAGCAAAGGTGTCACCCAGCGCATGCTGCGTCTGCACCATGTTGTAGAAGTGATCGGTCAGTGCTCTGGCCAATCGTAGCACATTCTCATATTTCCTTTTAGTGTCTCTCAGCACCTCGATCTGAGCCTCCAGCTCCAGGTCCACGGTCCGGGAACCCCGACCGAAACGCTCCGATATCATTTGCTTTGTGCACTGAAATAATGAAGGTAGATACACAGAGACCTCAGTAACACAGTGCAGTTGCCTTTCTTGACTGTGTTATACTTCATAAGGACTTGGTGAGAAGAGGATCTAGCTGAGAAACACAGCAAAGAAACATATCTGATCCAGATGATGCTCAGGCGAAATAAAAACCTCCTCTAGCTCTTTATCACAAAGCTATTTATTTAGTTTTACTCATTAATCAACGTTACAGATACCTTGTATGTGTTGAGACCCCACTTCTTCACTGTTTCTAGTTTTTCCACAGCCACACCACGGGTTGTTTCTTCTGCCATCACTGACGAGCTGCTGCTGCTGTGGTGCATGTTGGAACCTGAGAGAAGAACAACAAACATGAGCAAATACCCTTGATTAACCCCAGCAAAGAATAGAGCAAACAGAGAACCATAAACTACTTGAAGTGCATTAAAACAGTGCTGCATTTAGAAAAGACAACACTGAAGACCGTTTCTCAAATCTGTTTACCATCTTCCAACCCCTGTCCGTCACCACTAACCCTGAAACCAGTTAGACAAGCACAAGAGTGAGACAGAGTTAGTGAGCAAATAAAGAACAGGAAAATGCAGAGAGCTAAACACCAAGTATTTCTAATACTGAGAAAAACAAGCTGTTTGTTGAGCTGTGATAAAAGGTGAAAATTATATAAACTGCAGGGATATTTTGAGTCACAGCCTAAACAGGAAATCTTATTAAAGAATCTAGAGCCTGGTGAGTGTTTTCTCTTTAGTACCTTGGAATGCATGTGTTTGGCTTGCTATATGGCAGATGACAGAGCTGCTTGGCAGGACACTACTTTGCCTGGTCTTTGCCTGCAGGTCTGTGATGGTGGATGAGTGGATGTAGGGGAGGGTTTGGTTGAAGGAATGGTTCAGGGTGAGAATCAATTAGGGTAGGGTGCAGGATTTACACTGGGTTTATTTCAAATTACAGGCATTTTTTTTCTCCAGGACCCAGATTTTAAAGGTTATTAGGATTTAAATGTGCCAGACTGCACAAGTGTGCCAAAGTTTTTAAGATAATGTAGGAGGAAGATTGTGGAGAGGAGCACAGAGACGCAAAAAATGACAGGAGTTAGATGACAAAAGAGAGAAGAGGCGATGGAGGAATATGTAGGAGGGAAGAGTGAAATAGGGGATGGAGGACAAAGATGGAGGAGCACACAGATGAAAAGACCACATTAAGTGTGTGACAGTCATTGAACAATGCAGACATTTGAGTGATGCTGATGATGGGGGCAGCAGCACTGAATAGTGTAATAATAAATAAACTGTACCAGACGTTTATTACGAACAAGGAATTTAAAATTAATAATTAATAATATCCTGCTATGGCCAGTGATTATCAATGTCTTAATACAAATAGACATTAAGAGGTTCAGAGATCAGTTTATGGAGGAATTCTGTGTAGAGCCAGTACGGAATAAGCTTACAGCACAATCAAAAGAGAAACCAAGAAGGAGGCAGAGGGAAATATATTAAAGAGCATCTTTCCAAAATGAGGTATCGTTATGTGAGAAATACCAGACAAAAACTGAAGAACATCAGAACCATAATGTGGATATCATAGTTAACAGAAAACTGGGTGTTCCACATTCTATACACATCATCTCAAAAAATTATTCTACCACATTTTGGAATAATGCTCTCCATAATTAACAAGGAGCCACCTAGTCCTGTAACTGGGATCCTTTTGTTAAAATCTGCATTGTAGCGCACAGCAGGGCCTGAGGGAGATAACGGGAAAAAGATGCAGAATTATTAGTATTAAATAAGGAGTAAAGATGGTGTTTACATTTCCATCGGACAGTGTTTGCATTTACCTTAATGAAGTCAATGTCTTGAACTAGAAAATTACATTAATCCTTCATCAGACTTAAAGTACCACACCACATTCCCAGACATGATGTACTAGGTCTCTTTATTCTTCAGCATGAGGTCAAGTTTTCATTTATACAACAAATTATGAACTACTCATGAGGAAGAGAAAACAATGTTCTATGGAGATGTTGACATCGAGTTAGTCCACTGACTGACATACTAGCCAAGGAGCTTGCCTTTCAGTAGTGATACAGTACAGTCACAATGTTACAACACATCTGCAAACGTGACACTGTAATGAGCTGTGGCATTTTTGAGCCCTTAGCCTGCATTTACAGTAACATATGGCAAGGGGGTGCACTGGTGGAGGAAAGAGGGTTAAGGTATCATTAAGACAATTGAAGAAAGGCCGGTTTAAGTAAGAAACCTGTGAGGGCTCATCAGATATCACAACACTGCACAGCAGTTTTCAATATTATGAGATAAAATTGTTCACCTCTGGAAAGTCATCGTGACCACAATCATTTTGCCTTTGCGACATTTGCCGACAGCACAAACACTGCATTCTGAAAAGAGGAATTCCCACTCTGCACATAGTTCATTGCTGCACACAGTGCCTGGCTCAAGTTGGCCTGGAATCACTTCTTTGCTGCACAAAGCTGTGGTTTCTTCCTGGAGCCTGTGTGTCATCACCTAGCCCCACTGAAAATTGGAAGGAGGGGGCTGCCTTTTCTCACACACATGCAGTGTAGTTTGAAAATGTACTTTTGGGGATTAATCTTTTGTTGACATGCAGTTTGGGGTTTAATCCAGTCAACACATTACACACTATAACATTTTGGTGAGCACTGCTGTTTTTTAAAATTAGTGTAGGTTATCATTCCCTCTGTCAAGATGCTTTAACCCATACATGCACACAGAACCATGTAATCTAAGGACTCCGGACCACTAGAGCACCTTATCAGACGGTGGAGGCCTGTGCTGGTGATAGATCATTTAATTGCACAGAACACAGATTAACTGCAGCAGGATCTCATGGGAAGACTGATAGCAGAGCCCTGAAATCAAACGTCGTCCTCTGAATAAACTCACAGAAACACTCCAAAGTATCAGATGCAGCAAACAGAAGACGTCAAAATATGAGAGCAACAGTTTGGTCTGAAAAGATTTCACAAATAACCGAGAGAGTGTGAAGTAGGTCTCTACCTTTTATTGAGCTGGTGGGGATGATACCCTCTGCTGTTCCTCCGTACCCCCCTGACACAATGCTAGTCTCGTTTAGATTGGGACCTGATACCATCACCTGCTGTAGGTCCTGCAAAGTTTAACAGTAAACAAAAAGAAGAAGAAGAAGAAGAAGAAGAAGAAGAAAGGGAAGGACAGAGTGTTTTAGGTGGGTTAGAATGGGGAACTGTAAACAGGAGATTATGACTTGAGTGTTACATTCAAACAGTGCAGACAATGTAGGTTAAATGCTTACTCACTAGAGGGGGACAAACACTACTACATTAAGGTTTGCCAGCACACACAATCTTTGGGCAGTGTTTGACTGCAGCTGCTTAGCTGAAAGCCAACAAAGAACACTATTAAGTCTATGAAAGGCAGAAAACAAATCACTAAAGTATACAGTCATCAATTAACCTAATTATTTGTGCTGGATCTCCTGTCGTGATGCTGTAGAGAACAGGATTTATATGCCACAGTCTAATCCAAGCAGCGACTTCAATGATCTATTCAGCAGAAAACGCTGAAGTAAACTATTTTCTCCTTCCAAAATAATCACCATCACAGACTGCAGTGAACCTCTGGATCATGTGGGGAACTGCGTTACGAGTCACAGGATCCATCTTCTAGCTCACTGTTTTCTTTTCTTTGCTTTAAAGCTCATGTATCACCTAGTAAAGAAGACAAATGAAGGATTTTTGGAAAAGAAAATCTGGCCCAATGAGATTTCTCGCTTTGGCAAAGCATATGTGAGCCTTGTTTCCTACAACAAACACGTTTATATTTTACTCATGCCTGTGCCATGAACATGTCTCTTATTTCATTTGCTAGGACACTTCCTGAAACCTTTAGCTTGGACTCTACAGTAAGACTGTGATTAACAAGCTACAGAGGAATGCTCTGGAGGGAAGGTAGCAGTTTCCTTTTTGTAAATGAACAAAAAGAGTATCCTGTGGTTCCACCAAACAGAAGTAAAAGTACAGCTGCTGTGATTTTTGTTGTTGGAGACCAGAAAGCTGAACCGAACATAAAGAGAATGGTCCTCTTTCTACACTTACTGTTTGTTGTGACAGACATGGTGAACTACTTTTCTTATAGCAAATGAAACACCGACTGACACTTCAAAACAGAACAAGCAAAGCCAATTCACACCAACATTACAGCATTAGAACAACATGATGATTATTAGTACAACGCTGGTTTGTTCTGTGAACCAACACCCTCTAAAAGATGACGAGACCATACCAACATATCACTCAAGTAAACACACACACACAGAATCCAAGCTAATTAGAATCTAACTCTAAATGTCAGCTATTTTGTTAAAACTACTCATTTTGAGGGAAATCTCTCAAAACATGTCTACTCTGAGAGACCCCTTCCAGCTAGTTAGTAGGAGCTGAGTCAACGCGCAGCACAAATCACGTTGCACAGTGGTTTGCCATAAAAATCAAATAAACCAACATAGTGATGTGAGGTAATTTAATGCTGCATAAAGTCAAACCACTGAGAAGTGCTGCAGTTTGACACACAGAGACATAAACACACACAAAAGCACAAATGGCCTGCTCACCCTGGTGCCTCTGGAGCTCCCTACCTTCTCATCTAAGCTCCACTGCAGCTTTGCAGCCTGCACAGAAATGGGGGGGTTGACAAACACGACAAAAACGACAACAAATAGAAAAGGGAAGGAGACAAAAAGGAAAATCCATGACTGAAATCATGAAAAAAGAACCAAAACAATCACTGTTGATGTCCATAGACAGCAGGGATGTAGGATGGAGAGCAGTGATGACTGATATCACAGCAGGTCAGGTCAAGATTCAACATTTGGCTGGTTTATTTCAAACAAATAATCATGTTTGCTGGGTGAACATGCTTTGCATGGTGCGTTTTAGCTCATCACCTTCCATGTAAAATGTTTTGTATGTTTAATGTTTACAGCTTTGACGTGACATTATTCATCACTGTTTGGACAAAGAAAACACTGGTTCTAATACAACACTGTGAAAATAAATGTATTCATTTACAAGACAATTTACATTCAAAGTGACATTAATATAGTGGGGGGGGGGGGGTGGGGGGGGGGGGGGAGAGAGAGATCAAGAAGGAACTGTGAACACACACAAACATCCACACAAACACCCAAAAGCTCTGGGTAACACACTTTGATTAACAGGTGATTTCTGTGGTGGCCCTGAGAGCTGAAGTTGCAACCAAAGGAAACACATGCAAATAAACAAAACACAAGCAAATTAAGAAAACATTTTCACCTATCTGACAATATGTGGAGTATTTTGAAAAAGAAAAAAAAAGGCATTACCTAAAAACTTTACCTACGTATTAGCTCATTTTCCAATACCACTAATAGTTAAACAGCTTTATGAGTCACAAATTATGACAACAAGCATGTCCCTGCCACACCCATCATCATTTTAAAGCCCCTTTAAAACATTTCCATTGCAGTATCTGGGCTATTTCCAGTGTTTCTCTGTGTGGTTGTGTTTTCTGGTTGTGTTTTTTTTCTTAATGCTACACGTGTGTTCTCTAATTTTCTTAATTTGGTTGTTTTGTCTATTTGTATGGGTTTTCCTAAGCTGCAGTGCCTTGACCTGTCAAGGTCACTGTAGGTTTCTCTGTTTTAGCAGTGCATTTTGAGTCATGTCAGAAGCAACCGATCTTTCATCCTAACAACAGTGCCAGTTTCTCTAATCTGTAATGACAAATATCAAATTTAAAATGACAAACTGGTTGAACTACATTTTCTTTACTCAGTGTAGAACTAAGCTGATGTAGACACTGATCCCTCCCTGAACACTGCTGACAAAGTGCCTCTTCCATGAATGAAGGAAACTACAGCACATTTAAGTCATCAAAATATAATCTGGTAGACATATCCTAACACTGACCTTGGGTAGCGTTATGAAAATGTCTCGACTGTTTTTGTACAGATGCTGAACCAAAAGCTAAATACTATGTATCTGTTGCCTTTGCCAGGATGCTGCCTGCAGTCAGTGTCGAGCTGCCAGTCACTATACATATTCTACACAACACACAAATGCTTTGCTACAACCTAAAACCAGACCTTCGCTCATCCCTAACCTGCCAGTTTTCATCTACATGTGCAGGAGCAACAGAGACTGCTACAGCTTTAAACCCAGTGCTGTGCAGCAGATATCAATCTGATTTCAGAGGGCTTTCACCCAAGGACAAAGCACAGCCACTTTCAGATTAATGACAGAGTTGCTATGACAACTGGTTAATATGCAGCACTAAACAGTGAAGCTAAACACCCCTCCTACATACAGTAAACCCACTATGTAGCACTCAAAAGGTTGAATATTTGCTTCACCAGGTAGGGTTTTCTTTTACTACTTAAGCGGAGACAGACACAGGTTGGTGAGTAAGTAACACATTTAACTGCCTGTGCTTCCCACCAGGATCTTCAGTCTGTTTATCTAAGCAGGTGTGCCTCAGGATGCAGAAGAATGAACAACCTGTTCCGCTTTACTTACTCTGTAGCCCTATTGTTATTTCAGTGTACCTGGCTCTGCCTAAGACTCCTAAAAAGGGTGGACACAAAATGTTGGAGTTCGACCCCGGAGCCCACAAGGGCTCATTTGTTCTTCTCCAAAATGGAGAGCAACTGCATCAGAGAGCTTGGCATTTCAGTTTAATACCTAGTGTTCTGGTTAACCAGATACACAACCCCGTACAAGAGGCCACATGAGCTATTAATGGGAACAACTGGTTCCCAAGGAGACACCTGGACTCAGACACCTGATTTCCCAGTGGTGCCTCGCTCCAGAGTTGTAGCTAAGCAAGATAAGCAACATATAACAGGCAATACAGTAAGAGTTACACAAAGGCAGACAACAATATTTCAGATCACAGCAATAGCTTGGACCAAAGATCTGAATAGTCACTCTCCTCTGAGCAGCTGCATACAGGTATGCAAGGCACAGAGAGAGGATAAGTGAGTGGCCAGGACTAACATCTGTGTTTACTGAGAAGACTGAGGCCCACACAGTACTGTAAACTGTACCACAGAGTGGTACTATGGTGTGAATGGTATAAAAAGAGTCAGCACACCTGGATAATGTTGTGATAGTTGCTGTACGAACAGCACACACAGCCATCCTGTCATCAAACAACTGGAGGCGCACAGCCATCTGTCAACACTGTGCTAATCCAACAGGAACAGCACACAATGACGTCAGACGGCATAATTATGTAGGCTTAATTTTCTTCTTGTGCACTATTTACACCCATTGAACAGTTAACTCATGTAACCTATTGTTTATTTTCTTACTCTGTACTATTTCATTCCATTTCATCCCATTGCACTAGTGTTTTATAAGTTTAATGTGCTTTATCCATTACTTGTAATTTAAATCCATAAAGACTGTTGTATATTACCTTATATAAATTACTGTAAATATCAATTGTAATAAATATCAATTGGTAAATTAGTACTGACTGTACTGACTGTAGATACTGCGCAATCTGCACTGCTGTTATTACACTTCTGGTTAGATGCTCAACTGTATTTCATTGCCTTGTACTTGTACCTACTGTTCCATCTCTAATCACATCTTTAGCAAGAAGAAACATTATGAATAAATGTCTAAGAAAAACAACTCTGTATTCTTTGCACTCTCTTTTGTTGGCTGCAGTTTAAGGCGACAGTGGTGCGGTGGGTAGAGCAGTCGTCTCCCAACAGGAAGGTTGAAGGCTCCAATCTCGGTGCCTGCAGTCCACGTGTCGAAGTGTCCTTGGGCAAGACACTGAACCCAACAAGTTGCCCGTCATGGCGGCGCGTACGCACGCAGGGGCCCGGGGCCCTCGGCTCCAAACATAATTTCGTTGTACGTGTCACAATGTTACAATAAATAAAGCTGCTTCTAATTTTGAGAATGCAAGTGATCTATTCTTGGCCTGGGATTGCAAGCCAGTAAACTCACAGCTGGCATGTTTGTTTCCTTGTATAATAGCTTTATATATAAAAATACAGTAACTACACATGGCAATTTTAAAATTTTACCCTTAGTACACAGTCAACTGATACAGTAGCTATAGCCTACCTGTTCCAGGCCGTCGTCTTCTGGTAGTGTCCCTGTGTCACCATTGCTGTTGATAGGAATCTCCATTGTGGCAGCTTTACTCAGGATGCTGTCTGTCATAATGCACTATATCTGCAAGAGAAGAGGAGAGAGGGAGCCATAAAGTGGGGATACAACAAACTGCTGTATGTAAACAAAGTGGAAAAAGGTAAAGATGGACAAACAGAGAGGCCCTTAATGCTGCTTTGAAGAGGAGCAACCAGAGAGCATAGTCAAAACAGCTGAATCAGGCAGATGGGAATATAATTGCCACAAACAAGTGCGGAGGTGGTTTTCAAAGAGCAAGGCTACCGCTCGGCATAAAAAACAATACACCTATGAAAGCCTCATGCACAGGAGCCACCACTAGAACAAGCTGTCTGGCTGAAGAGGCCACTCTGCTCTAGAGCTCGATTCCAAGGCTGCATGTCAGAGACACCCACTCAGTGAAACCACAGAGGAGAGGGGACACGGCAAGCTGTTTACATTAACATTGTCTAGTCATTTTAATGGCACACAGGTCATGAGTTGACCTGCTTTAACAGCATTATTAATATAGTAATACAACTCCTATTTTTGTCTTGAATAAGTATAATGAATTCACAAAGCCAATCTGAAGGCTCACACACGAAAGACTTATCATGGGTTTCACGATGCAGAGCAGGGTGTTTAACAGGTAAATGTCACACCTAGAAAAACACCAGAATATACACTAGCTCTATGTAAAGAGAGACAAACTACAAAGGTGGGTAATGCAGCAGGTAATGAATTTAGCAGTTGTGGGTCGTTTGTGGCTCTCTTTGCCCATTAGACCATAAAAAGGGATGGTAAACTGGAATATGTGTTGATTTTATCAAATACAGATGGAAAGCAACCCGCTGCTACTCTAAAAATGTAATAAGCTGTCACAGGTTGGGATGTGACTGTAATGGCATAAAGGTTTTCACATCTCCTGATACCACACAGGGCTGGGAGCCCTGACAGGTGAACCAGTACAGGTGTAAGGCTGTTTCCCTCACCCAACAGGGAAGGAGCTAGCTCCAGTGAGGTCAATCTGTCCACCACAGTGGGGATTTATTCAGATCGTCAAACGCTGTGGATAATAAGCGCTATTTGTTAAGGGCATGTACAAGATACTGAAGCTGATTTTAAGGATGGAAACTCGGTTTCTAGAAAAGGGCCTGTTTCCAGTTTACCTATGCAATTGATGAGGAGAAGCTGGTTAAAATGATTAACAGCCCACTGTGCAAAACCAGCTGGTTAACAGTGGCAGGAATATAAAATCCCAAAACCCAGACAACATGCAATATCGTCGTTTACAAACGGGTTGACTTACGGTGTGCTTGGCCCCGCCGTTAAAACAGAGCTGGTCGGGAAGCTAAAGGAGCAGCAAGCTAATACAGGCTAGCAGCTGTGCATCCCAGTTCATGCGAGGCTTAACGGAGCCTGGTCTTTTGTCAGTCCAAGGAGAAAAACTGCCTGTGGGAAGCAATGGAGCGTTTCGTTTATAACCATTTAAATAACATAGCCAGTTAAAGTCTTCAAACTGCTCGCAAATATCCTCTTTCTTGTTTTTTTTTTTTTTATGAAGCCAGCAGGAACGCTTTACGGAACTGACGACACCATAGAATTCATTTTACAAACGCACTCGGACCCAAAGACCGTCTATTAACGAGAAGATGAATCACTTCGCACAGAGGCAACACTGCCATGATGTTACCTCCTGCTAACCTTCACCTTTACATCTTGTATGTATTTACACATAGCCAGACATTTAAGTTGTACCGACACATATGCATAACCTATTTTCTGTCTCTCTTCGTTCTTTAGACCACGATTAATGAGTAAAAAAAAAAAAACTTCAATAACTTCTGTGTAAATTTAAATCATGTGTTTATCAAGATATGATTTGGGCTGACACTCAGCTCAACAGTATGCAAGGGTTTCCAAGAGTTCCCTCCGCTGCTTATGAGAAATAAAAAAGAATGATGGGGAGTCAGGCAGTTAACAGAAATAAATGCATCGGTGACGAAGTGTGATTTACTTCCAGCTGCTGGTTGGAAAACAGGTCATAGTTAACATAAACAAATTCACTATACACTTCAAGTTGTATCTGGAAATTGCAATAGAGTAAGACTTCTTCATTTTTCCTTCTGTCGGCTCCAACCCATCTTTGAGTGCGTCTTGGTGATGTGTCCAGGTTTCAGAAAGTCCAAGGTTGTACATTAACTCAGGTTAACTACGAGTTTTTATTTGTGCTCCAAAAAAGCTAGTGCTTAGGAACGATATAAATACAAATACTAACTCCCTTTGATGATATAATTGGAGCATAATGACTCTTAGCCTATTTTACATTAAAGCAATCGACCTTATCAGAAAGATTTTTTTTAAGTTGCTAAACATGTTATGAATACCATATGAAAACCACGCACTCTTAATCAGTTCAATATATCCAAAGTTAGTCTACAAGGACAAAATTATGCCACACGTGAACTTTGGATTTAAAATGCATGTTGCAACAGGAAATAACTGTGTCCTCATACTGTAGATAAAGGTTAGTTCAGCCTCTCTAACATAGAGTAGCTTGATAATAGTGGGACAGCCTGTAAAGCATACTCTGTTAATATTTTGACTCAGAAATGCTTTAATGCAACAGTGGAAACGTGTGGTTCACACAACTGTTTGTTCTTTTTCTTCTTGCTCCATATCTCCATTGAGTTTCTACTGTAGGTGTATTACTTGTTATCTCCATCACTTGTGCAACCCCTTTTTTCCCCAAGTTATTTTACCCTTTATCCTCTAAACCTGGTTGTCACAAGGTAAAATTTTAATGTTTGAATAATAGGACGGCAACAGGCAATGCATGAATACTTTGACCCAGGCACAATATGGACCTTGTGCCAGAGAATAGTGCATTAAATACAGTTTCACTGAAGCTGAGTGATAAAACAAGCACACTGAGCTGTGTGTCCATAAGTAGGCTATATTTGTATTTTTTGGGAGGGTGATACAGTTCAAGTCCAAGTGAGCCAAGACCCCCACATGCATCTGGGCATCATCATTGTATGATGACTGATGACAGAAACAGAGTCAATGCTGGAGCATAATACAGGCACAAACAGCATATAATTCATACTATGAATATACTGTATGAATGAGCCACTATGAACAATGTTAACAGCGCTGGATGAAATCCTATAAATACTGAGGGGTTTCAAACTGCTTCTGCAGTCAATCATAGTGTGAGGAAGGAGGTGGAAAGCAAAACTAAGGGGAAAGATTGAACATTTTATTAATGAATATATGGGAAGAACTGTACAGCCAAAATAAACTCTCATGGTACTTTTGGATGGGGTGTAAAATGCCATATGGGAGCATTTTACTAACAGAAAACTGCATGAAAACAGTACGAGGATTCCAGCTGTTGGTGTACTCTTCAGTGCCAGTCCGCGTCACTACCTGGTGAATCTTGGTTCCTTGTATTGAGTCGATTCATTGGCTCTTGTCCTCAGTATCCTACACTTACACTAATTTCATCTACAGTATGTGTTACACATGAGAAAGGAGATGACAATAGAGTACATCAGTGGTTTGAAAAAAAATAGATTATTATGTTCAAGCAAAAGTCACTTGAATGCACAATTACAAAGAAAAAAGTTTTTCTTTTAACTTTTCATAGAGAAATGTGCTGTAAAATTATTATTATTAAAATTCTTTTTTTTAATAAAAACTCCACCTCAGATGTAAGAACTTAACTCTTTTTAATTTTTGTGCTCAGCCAAATGTGCTTATGTGCCTAGAAGTGAATGAATTTCACTCCATATTTATATAAAACAAACACCAATTCATACTTGTTGGAGAATCACAGGAAACTGCCCCACAGTGCGTGCATTCGTGACAAACATGCCTAGAGACACCAGGGAACCACACTCACTCACAGCTGTGTCACACATTGTTGCTATTGAAAATGCAGAGTTAGCAGTGTGAAGCATAGACGCGGGAAGTTCACACTGTTTTTATTAAATGCTGTGGTTGTAGAAAGTGATGGAGAAAGGTTTTGATCTCTGAATTAGTCAATGACCATATGAAACGTGAGTCTGGCCATAGGGCAGCTAGTTACTGGAAGCAGGGGATGTTATCCCTCAGGCAGCCATTAGTGTGCAGACTCACCTGCTGAGTCATATAAAGACTCACACAAATAGGAAACATCTCATGCTGAATCATTCATGCAAACACTTTCTCCACATCAAAACAACTAATAAACATGACAAATGAGAAATAAAAGCATTTCACATTTTAACTTATCATAACCTTTGAAATCTATCACAATAACTTTAACACAATCACTAAATGCGGAATAATTTTAAAAAAGCATTTATAGTCCCTTCAGTACCTGGCATGCCCTCATGATGGCACCAAATCCCAACCTTAAAATGCAACCAAGTAAAACTGCATCTGCATAATACAAGAGCAGACATCCCACAGAGCCACTGCAGAATAATAAGATGCTTTAACTCTCATCATCAGAGAGACAATTCAGCCAAAAAGCTGATAAAGCTTTTAAAATTAGCTTGAATATCTCGTGTGTAGG